TGTGAATAGAAGTTATCATTTCGAGCGTTTGGGTTATGTAGGCTATCATGTGATTGCACCTGAGGTTGCAGGTATGGGTTATTACAGCTGGTTCGGGCTTATTCTGAATATAGATGTGAGGTTCCGACTTTTGTGTGTGATTCCGGAAAATGCAATGTGGTTCTATGGTTTATGGACTAGATGGATTGTGGAATTTCAGCTATATTGTGTTATCGGACCTATGCGAGATAGGGTAACGTGGGATCACCCCCGGGTATATGCTTGGTAAGGTCATTCAGCTATTGGTTGGCTTCTAGGGCAACTCTGGGTATGCTCGAGGACGAGCGATTATTTAAGTTGGGGAGGATGTGACGACCCGACCCGTCGTCTCAGGAGCTACCACCCCGTTTCTCCCATTTTATGCTTCTTCATGTTTCGTTATCGGTATTTGGTGATTTGGATTGGTTTTGATAAGAAATGAGACACTTAGTCTCTTTAAGGAAGGCTTGGTTTGGAAAAGTCAACCGGAGGTTGACTTATGAGTTATAGGGCTCGGATGTGATTTCCGGTGATTCGGTTAGCTTCGGGGGATGATTTGTGACTTAGGAGTGTGGTCGGAATTGATTTTGGAGGTCTGGTGTAGAATTAGGCTTGAATCGGCGAAGTTAGTGTTTTGGCGAATTCCGGTTGATAGGTGAGATTTTGATTCGAGGGTCGGAATGGAATTCCGAGAGTTGCAGTAGCTTTGTTAGGTGATTTGGGATGTGTGTGCAAAATTTCAGATGATTCGGAGGTGGTTTGGTTTGGTTTTTGATCGAATGCGAGTTTCGGAAGAATTTGAAGAACTTAGGCTTGGATTTGATGTAATTTGATGGTTTTAGTGTTAATCGTGGTGTTTTTATGATTGGAACAAGTTTGAATAACGTTTTAGGACGTATTGGTATTTTTGGTTGAGGTCCCGGGGGCCTCGGGGTGAGTTTGGATGGTTAAAAGGAGAGTTTTGGAATTTTTCATGTGCTAAGTCTGCTGCTTCTGGTATGTTTTCGCTTCTGCGGAATTTGGACCGCGGAAGCGGTATCGCTTATGTAATTGGGGAACCGCAGAAGCGGTTGGAGCTTGTGTTGGGTTTTCCGCAGAAGCGGAAGTTTGGGCCGCAGAAGCGGTCCCGCTGGTGCGATTCCTGGGCCACAGAAGCGGTCGAAGCCTTTAAGTGGAAAACTGCAGAAGCGGTATAAAAGTCGCAGAAACGGTCCCGCATAAGCGGAAACGGAACCGCATAAGCGAAAAAGAGCTGGGCAGAGAAGATTTTTAAAATAACATTTCATCCGCGAGCTAAGTGTATTTTCCTCTATTGTTGAACATCTTGAGAGCTTTTTGGGAGCAATTGAAGAGGGTTTCGACTGAGATTGACTGGAGGTAAGTTTTATGAGTTAAAAACACGATTATATGTGAAATTAACCTAGAAATTTATGGAAATTAAGTCTAAAATTGATGAACTAGGGCTTGGGATTTTGAGATGTTAAATTGGGATTTGATGGGTCATTTGAGCTCGGATTTGAGAGTTCTTGGTATGTATGAACTCGTGAGAAGATGAGGAATCCATTGATGTTAATTTTCTGACTTTTCGAGAAGTGGGCCCGGGGCTCGGGTTTCGCTAATTTCGAGATTTTTGATATTTTTCGATTGTTTTCGATTGGGTATTGTTCCCTTAGCATATTGTGATGTATTCGCTCTGATTTTGGTTAGATTCGACGCGCGTGGAGGCCGATTTGATGGGGCAAGGGCGTCGCGAGCTAGAGATTTCACCGGTTCGAGGTGAGTAATGATTGTAAATGATATCCTGAGGGTTTGAAACCACGGATTTGCACGCCGTAGTGCTATATTGAGGTGACTTGCACGCCGGATAGCGAGCGTGGGGTAGAGCACCGTTGGGGATTGTGACTTGGTCCGTCCCGATTGTTGGTTTTACCGCGTATTTGGCTGAAACTTATTTGATATTATCATGACTTGGGCTGATTGCCATACTTGGGGCTTATTGCCGACTGTTTAAAATCCTTGTGATCTATCATCACTGTTTTCCTCACTATTTGAAATATTATTTGAACTCAGTCCATTTGAATTACACTGTTTCATGAACTCAGCTATATTTTTACTCAACCTTGAGTTTTAACTGATGTTTGAACTATTGTTTGAGCTGAGCATTATAGTCTCTACTAATGCTTGAGGGGCTTATGATTATTTTTGGACTGATTGAGGCCGAGGGCCATATGTGAGGATATGTCGAGTGATGTGAGGAGGCTTTCAGGCCTCGAGTGATATGTGAGGAGGCTTTCAGGCTTCGAGTGATATGTGAGGAGGATTTCAGGCCTCGAGTGTATTGTGAGAAGGCTTTCAGGCCTCATGTTGATATGTACAGGCTTTCAGGCCTTATGATGATATAGCGCTTGGGCTGTAGGAGCCCCTCCGGAGTCTGCACCCCAAAGTGAGCGCGGGTACCCATCTAGAGCGGATAAATATTAGACAGTGGTAATAATGGCACTGTTGTACGCGTTTTGGTCAGGTAACAATGACTGACCAGTGGTAACAATGGCACTGTAATACGCATTTTGGTCAGGTAACAATAGCTGACCGGTCAGGTAACAATGACTGACCAGGAATATAAATCATGCCCGAGGGGCCGGTATTGTTTTGAGATATTGCCCGAGGGGCGAACTTTTATGTGCTCATCTTGCATACTTAGTTGCCTCTTTACCTGTTATACCGTGGTATTTGTGCCCGAGGGGCGGATTTTCTGTGCGTATCAGCACTAACTGTTTTGAAATCGTTTTCATAATCACTGAAAACATCATTTTTAAAAGAGATTTGAACTGAGCCAAGGTATTTCTAAAGATTTCACAGATTTCACTGTTTTTCTCAGAAAATTGCACCCGGCTTCTGTATGGCATGTTGATTTCTTTACGTGATTTCTTGCTGCTCGGTTATTATTTACTTTTATTACTCACTGAGTTGGAGTACTCACTTTACTCCCTGCACCTCGCATGCAGATGCAGGTATTGTTTACCCGGTAGTGAGTTTTGAGCTGGTTGAAGGTATTGCTATCGTAGCTGAGCAGAGTGACCGCCAGCGTTCGCGGCACCGGATTACTTCCTTTGGTTCTAAATTTTATTCCGTATATTGTTGGCCCTATAGTTGTATTTAGACTTTTCTAGATGCTCGTGACTTATGACACCCCAATCGGGCTGTGTTGGGTTGTAAACTTCGTTAATTAATGTCCTTAAGTCGTATTTTGCTATTCATTTATGTTTAACTACTTTGAAAGGGACTATTTGGGTTAGTTGGCTGGCCTTGTCTTCACGAGAGGCGCCATCACGACTAGTACGGGGTTTTGGGTCGTGACATTTCTTTAGCTCGTGTTGATTGTATCGAGTTGTTTATGGCTAGATTCGGGACGTTCGGAGGCCAATTCGCGAGGCAAGGGCTTGCTAGCGGAGTGATTCGTTGCTTGAGGTAAGTATCATATTTAAACTCAGTTGAGGCACCAGTTGCCTGAATTGTTGTGATAGTCACGTGCTTTTGGGTGCGCACATGCGTGGGGATGATCCCATGTGCAGGAACCGGGATTATATATTCATATTTGGGTTGTGCTCGGGCTCCTATAAGCCCAGAAATGATTGTTAAGCTTCGAGCTTCAATATCTAACATGCGCTATCAGTTTAACTGATCTAATTGAGCCATGATGAGTCTATTTAGAGGTTTAATCCCTAAACGAACTTGATAAATATTTTTCATTTATGAAATTGTCTGATTGAGCTACGATAGCACACTTTGCACATGCATACACTCTAGCGTGCTATTTACACCAGTCCAAGAATAGGAGAATCTTATTTCATTCATTATATATCTTTATACTTGCTTTATTGCTTCAGTATGATATTTTGGACTGGAGCCTGCAGCTATACTGGGCGGGTTATGTTATTGGCACGTGAGTTGTTCGTGCAGCACGTGAGTTGTCCGTGCGGATCCATATATTGATATTATTGGCACGTGAGTTAATCGTGCGGATCCATATGTTGATATTATTAACATGTGAGTTGTCTGTATCGCACGTGAGTTGTCTGTGCAGATTCTATTGTTAGCACGTGAGTTATCGGTGCAGTGTGTGAAACTTGTATTTCTTGATCACTTATCTGATTTACTTGTTTCTTCCCTCTACATGCCATAATACTGTTGAGCAGAGTATTTGAGAAATAGGGCACATGCACACACAGATATTCGTATCACGAAGCCCTATGATCTAGCTTTAAATCTTATACTATGTAAAAAAAAAACGACAGGATTGTACTGATTTAACTAGTGACCTCAACAAATTAAGTTTCTCTTTCCTTGCCTTGTTTAATTGCGATACTTATTGAGTTGGTTGTGCTCACACTACACCCTGCACCTCGTGTGCAGATTCGGGCATTTTCGGGCCCAGCGATTATTGATCGTGGAGTTTACCTGTTCGGAGATCATCGAGGTAGCTGCTTGGCGTCCGCAGACCTTGATCCTTCTTTCCCTATCTTTCAGTTTATGTATTTAGTCTTATTTTTCAGACAGTGTACTAAACCATGTTGTTATACATAGATGCTCATGTACTCGGTGGCACCCAGGTTTTGGGAATTTTTCCGCATTTAGTTATGGCCTTTTTATCCAGTTTATGAGAGTTTTTAATAATTAAAACTTGTTGAGTATATTGTTCATTCAAAGTGTTGGCTAATGTATGGGACGTCGGCTTGCCTAGTACTATGATAGGCGTTATTACGACGGGTTGGTTTTAGGTCGTGACAGTTTGGGCAGAAATACTAGGAACTACTTTTTCTAGGCTAATTACGGCTTGTAATAGTAATGATACAATCTTAGATAAATTAGGGTGTTCTTCGGAATATTAATCCGGCAACTATGGAAGTATTTTTGTGCATATATACTATTATTAACCTTTCAACCAAAGAAAAAAGACATTAAGTCATATAAGATAGCAGAAAAAAGTTAAAAGGATAGATATATGGATTCATAAGTAAGAACCATAATACAACAGCCAATTTATTACACAAGTACTGGACTATGAGTTCGAGGGACATACAAAAAGGAAAAAAAGAGACAACAAGTTGATACAAAATACAAATGGAACCATAAGTAGGATTCTAGACGAACACATCTTATTTTTCTCTTCAATATTGCACTACTTCCAAATTGTGCGGGGTAAAATTGGCTTATTTTATCAGCCTTACTGGACCCTGCATCACAAGTCCAACAAGCAAACATCAATATTCAATACACATGCTGCCATGTCCATACTCTATTTCGAAAAAAATTCACATATCACAAGATTTCTACTTTACACAATTAAGTATTTACTAGCTACTGTGCACGTTATCTGCTTCTTTATACGACAGAACGCTATGAAAACAATTACTTGTCAATTGTGAGTTAAAAACAAATAGGATAAAACTGATTCTGGCTAACTAAGTAAACATGTATTTCCTCTCTTTCACTGTATGTAGCATTATTATTATTAATTGAGCCATGATGAAACAAGGAGTTTTAATTTAAAAAGTAATTAAACTTTCTACCTCGCAGTTTTAACCCCATTGCTCTATTTAATGGTTTGTTTGAGTCCATCTCACAATGTGGTCCCACGTGATTGTTGAACAAACATTAGAGCAAATTAGGCCGAAATCAATAGTAATGCAGTTAGTTTGGAAAGAACAAGTGGATAATCCTCTCATTTTTATTATAATGACGGTGTTAGACTATACACGAAATTTAAGAAAGAAATAATGAAGACTTTTGACACAAAACATGCAATTTTCCCAGCCATTTCCATTGTTTTAGAGGAAAAAAAGAAGAAGATGAAGCTGTAAAACTATTTGTGGGATGAAGTAGCTAGCTAGGGGAGGATATAATAAATGCTTTGGGGAGTAGGAGCTAGTGTTTGATACAGAACACTGTAGGACCTTAGGGTTTTTATAGGGAGAAAATTGGATTTGATTGAGAGAATTAATTATCTGGTAGTTGGGTTCTATTCAATGCTTTGAAATTAGGGTAATAATGTATCAGCTGGTGTAGAGGGAAGAAATTTGACATATCAGTCTGATTATTTTATATGATTTATATTTAATGACATATTAGTTGTCTGGTGAAAGTATCTATTACATAATAGGTGGGAACCAGAATTTTAACTTTATTAATTTTGTATTTTAGAACAATGTCTTCAACCGCTAATAAATAAATTCAAATTTTAATATGTATATATATTTGTAATAAATTTTTTAACCCCAATACATTAATTAAAATAGGCCAGATCAATTTTTGGGCTTCTATCTCTACGCTTGCTCTATTATATATTACTCATCATCACATTCGCACCAATAAGCAATTCTCTAGCAATGCTCTATTATATTACTCATAATCGCCTGAAAATCAAGAACCTCTATATATGATAATTACTTAATTAGGAGTAGTATATTTCTGAAGCACACCATATTGAAGCACACCATTTGCTTCTTTAGGAGTAGTTAGGCTTTGAAGTATAGTGCATATCAGGTTCTTGAAACAATATTCATTGCATTTTAACCCCATGTTTTACGGTTTAATATTTAAAATTAAACACAAATGATTTCGCAAATTTTTTGAAAGTTCAACATGGTCAGTGAGATTATAAACTGTGGATACACTGCTGGTGGGAAAAAATTATTTTCATTTAAACATATTAACTTTTGTACTTTAGTTTTTTTCTCCTTCCCCTAATTCTTGAGCAAAATAGTAGCATTCAATCTAATAGGAGGAGACAAAAGATAAGGTCCACAGTCGGACCAAATCTGCTATAGATTGCATCATGTTGTGCTACCTCAATAATGAATATTGCCGTTGCCCCCTTTCTATTTCCTACCACTCCATCTGTCGGTGCTTGGTATAAGCCACTACTTGTTTCTACTCCAATCTTTCCCAGTTAGAGTTTGTTCTTTTCTTTGGGTAGGAAGTGAAAGGAGAGTTTTGATGCAATGATAAAATTAAGTTGTCGTAATGTGATCAAAATGTCAATGAGTTGAAACCAGGAAAATAATCTCTGGTTGAAATTAAAGGTAAGTCTTTGTATATCGGACCCAATGTGTGGTCAGATCGTTCCTCAAATCCCGCACATAGAGAAAACTTATCCCTTCTTGTTTTGTGTAGTAAGTTAAATATATAAGCGAGTCTGTCCTTTCTTTTTCTTCCACCATTTGTTTGGTAACCATGACAATCAGTACGTACTTATATGAGCTATATATGACTGTCTCTTTTATGCATGTATAGCTAGCTAATTGGTAAACAGAGACTAGCAAGTGTATATTCCGCCTAACATATCCCTCCTCTTTTTGCCTAACTTATGTAGGCAGTAGGCACCGAAAGTATCGCAAAATATTGAAAAACAATCGATAAGTTATTATCAATATTGAGGATATACTTAAGGTAATTAAAAGTAAAAAGCTTTCACCGGTTTAATCTTTTCGATGAAATGATTTAAGTTATAGAGTTAAACATTGGTATATTAAAAATATAATTAAATAAATAAAGGTATACTATTTCTAACAACTTAAGTGTTTGAATGAGACGATTGCGTAGTTCAACAATCGATTGCTTATGCTTCCTATACAACGTTATGTTTTGCAATTTTCTGCACGTAAATTAGAGCTCATAAAACTTCTCGAGCTTATAATCTGCATACATCTGCGTGTCCAACTCCTTTTGCAGTTAGCATTACACGACAACGAAATTTCTACACGCAAAGGTAAACATTCTGATTAATTGAAGGGACAGAACCAGGTAAAATCAAAATGTATTTTATGGAAATGGTAAAAGGACAGGTGGACAGCAAACATATGGACCCCAAATAAGTTGAAATTAAGGATCAAATTAGTCAAGCAATGACAGTAGATGTTCACATTGTAAAAGGACAGCAATTATATGGACCCCGAAAGCATTAAGTGATAGGTGAGGTGCTAGGGATTCGGGATCAGATGAATGAATATGGCAGATACACAGTGTCAAAATTTGAATAAGTAAACAAATGAATGAATCAAAATTATGACAACGATATCCTTTTATATATATTTAAACTCAATATTTTTAGTTTGCTTATTATATATTATATATCAAAAAATTCTACGAAATGATGTCTCGTGACACCGTTTGAGGAAAGATCAATCCGCCCCCTCCAGATACATGTCCGGCTTCTGCATTAATTCCTTCTATATATATCTGAAAGCAGCCTGTAGTATTTCCATTTAACAAAAATAAACGTACACAAGGCTTGATTTCGTCTCTTTAATTAGAAGACTTCTTAGGAAATCCCGAATATCTTTTTCCGATCGCAGAGTGCATTTGCTTTCAATCACAAGACATTATTCATTTGAAATGAAATACGTGCGTGAACCAACCTTATTATTGTACCTTCCTCTTAAATATTTAATTTTTGGCAGTAATGATAATGAAATGAACCCCAAAAAAGCTTGGTAGGCATGCCACCTAACTTTCTGCAAGGAGAGGGACTTTAGCTACTTTGTAAACTTGTTCAGAACCTATTGCCTCACAATATAAATAAGGATATACAAGTTGATATAGTAACGATCCGACCGGTCGTTGTGATCATTCGCATTTTTGTTCGGTGGTTCGAGACCGCGAGTAGCTTCATATGTTGTGTTATGACTTGCGTGTATGGTTGGTTTCGATTTTCGAGCAGTTCGAGATTTATTTGGAAGGATGATTCTCATTTTAGACGCTTTAAGTTGGAAGAGTTGACCATGTTTGATTTTAAGTTCGAGGCCGGATGGTGATTTTGGACTTAGTCCTATGCCCAGGTTTAGATTTGGAGGTTCCTAGGTTGTTTTGGATTGAATTGGTGAAAGGTGGAAATTGAAAGTTTGGAAGATTAATAGGCTTGACCGAGGGTTGACTTTATCGATATCGGGTTAGGATTGTGGCTTTGGAATTTGGTATAAGTCCCTTATGTTATTTGAGACTTGCATGCAAAAATTGAGGTCTTTCCGAGTTTTTGACATAGTTCCATATTAGTTTTAGAAGTTGAAAGTTCATAAGTTTATTAGGCTTAAATTGAGGTGCGATGTAACGGCTCGATTGGTCGTTTTGCTTTTTAGAACCCCGTTCCCCCAAATAAAACTCTCAGTGATTGCTTTAACTAATTTACGACCTGCGGGGATGGTTGGTTCGGGATTTGGAAGAGTTTGGACTGAATTATGCTCATTTGACTCCTTAGGATTTTCTTAAAAAGCTAAGTTTGACTTTGGTCAACATTTTGAGAAAACAGACCCGGATTCGTGTTTTGACGGTTCCGGAGGGTCCGCAAGAAAATATGGGACCTGGGCGTATGCCCGGAATCGAATTCCGAGGTCCCTAGCCCGAGTAATGAATTTTTATTTGAAATTGTTAAACTGAAATTCTAAGGATTTAAAGAAACTAATTAATGATTGATCACGTTGGTATAGGGCTCGTATGTTGGTTCTGAAGCCAAGTACAGGTTCAATATAACATTTAAGACTTGCCCGCAAAATTTGGTGTCAATCCGAGTAGTTTAAGGGCGTTTCGGCCCGTTAGAGAAAAATTAAGAACTTGAAGTTCATAAGTTGGATTCAATTGGTTTTAGGGGGTGGTTCTTAGATTTAGCATTGTTTCGGGCATTCCGAAGGTTCTAGTAGGTCCGCTTCATGATTTCAGATTTGTCGGTATGTTCGGGCGGGGCTCGGGAGCCCCGAGCGTCAATCAGACGAGGCTCGAGTGAAGTTGGAATTTTTGAGAAGTGCTGAAGCATCTGCTTCTGTCATAACCGCACCTGCAGTTGGTGGACCGCAGGTGCGAGCCCGCAGATACGGTCCATCTATCGCAGATGCAGCCCAGGGTAGGCCAGGCCAAAACCGCAAAAGCGGCTCCCAAGCCGCAGAAGCGTCTCTGTAGAAGTCCAGGACCGCAGAAGCGGTCCCACCCATTTGGCCAGTTTCGCAGGTGCGAACGGTTTCTCGTAGAAGCGGGGCCGCAGATGCGGAAATCGTTGAAGTAGTGAGCTTCATTTAATACGGGTTCCAACCCATTTTTGCCACTTTTCACTCTTCCATTAGCGATTTTGGGAGCTTTTGAGAGAAGACTTCCACCTAGAATCTTGAGGTAAGTTTATCCCACCTATTCTTAGCTTAATACTTATGTCTTAGGTAGATCAAACACTAGAATTTAGGTAAAATCAAGGGGTTAGAGCAAAACCTAAGGTTTTAACAAAAGTTAGATTTAACTCCAAAATTTGTTTTGAAATTGATTAGAAATCATATATTATTGATCCTTAGGTTATAGAGAACAACTTCCTTCGAAAAATTTCGGAATCCAGGCACATGGGCCCGGGGTCGGATTTTAGGAAACTTGTGTTAATGATTGGGAAATTGCTTAAATTGTTGGAATTCGATTTTGTGAGCTTATATTGACTAGTTCCTACCTCATTGAACTAGTTTGGGATCATTCGGCTCCGAATTGAGGGTTTGGGCTCGTTCTTGGTATTGGAAGTGCACTTGGAGCGAGGTGAGTCTCCTTTCTAACCTTGTAAGAGGGAATTGTCCCTATAGGTGTAATAATTGAGTAATTTGCTACTAAATGCGGGGGCTACATATGCACTAGGTGACGAGAGTCCATGCGTAGCTACTATTATGTTAATTGTCCGGGTAGTCTAGGATTCGTATCATGCTTTATTGGTGAATGTCTCTATATTTTCTTGCTAATGTGATCACTTAGGATATGCTAGAGACTTGGAAAGGAAAATAAGCGAATGTATACACTTGTTGGACACTTGTATGAATTTACTTGGAAATAAATGCGCATTCATGTGTTTTCTTGATATTAGTTGATATTTGTGGATCGGGCCGATCGCCTCGGTAGAAATAGATGCATCTATGGTT